GAAAAGCCAGATCAATTCTTCAGCTCAGAAACTGTATCTCCCCAGTACACAGTTTTCTTGGCATTAGTTGGCTTAATTCAGCAAAGTGCTTAAGACTATGCATAAATTTCAGTGCAGGGAGGGGTGACTTAAGCACACGCTTAAATAGGCTGATAGATTATGTCTGTATTTATTTTCCAGAGCAAGCCTTATTAAAAGGATACAAGCATGGTACTACAAAAGTGTATATGCTGCAGGTGAAAGCTTTGTTTCCCAAGTTCATGAAAAAATAAAGAAGCCCTAGTCCTTACCTAAACTTAAAATTTAGCTGTAGTTGCAACTTTGTTTTGCTGCTAGCAGTACCCCTTGGACACTTAAGCATAGATTTAATTTTGGCCAATGTTACTCTCTCCTGTTTGGCAAATGAAGCCAAAATGGCCTTCTTACCTCTTCTGTGCCATGCAGACAGGCAGGATTTCAGGCAAGACTGCTTGAGAGGCAAAACGCAGAGCTCACCGCCTGACCTGGCACCACCTACATTCAGCATGGGGGTGGAAACAAGCAGCTGCTTTTTGGCTGCTTGCTTGGTTTTTGTTCCCTTTCTCTAGTTCCTCCTAGCAGAAAACTTCTTTCTTATCTTGACTTTATTTTTCTCCCTCACATCCCAATGGCTGGAAAGGTCTTGATGAGGATCTCTTCCCCAAAGCATCCAGCAACTGTAATTCCTCTGCACCGCTGCTGGGTTTTCTTTGAGCCAGTCCCTCATCTCTCATTCACAACTAGCCCTTTCCTTGCCTATCTCCAACATGCTATAGAACAAAATGAGGGGCTGGATTTTACTGCAAGCAAAAGAGCTAGGACTACCTGAGGTTGTGGCACTGTGAGTATACTCCCTTTGCCACTGTCCTTTGCTGGACTTTTATGAAACCAACCAAACAAAAAAACAACCTCCAGGCTCCACCTTTTTATGCATTCACAGAAGAGTTGAAAGTTATATTAGTTATATTTTTAGGCACTAGCTCTTTGCACCAACGGTCTTCTGCCTCTTGCAGCGATGAACTATCCTGAGGTACTTGATGGCATCTGCAATGCATATTGAATTAAGAGTATTTATCTACAAGGAAAAAAATTAATGTAGCATTCTGGGAATATTCCCTACAGCATCAAAAAAAACCAAAAACCCCAACAACTTTATGGTCCTTTGCTTCTCAGAGGGTTCTCTCCCTCAGACTTTTCTACCTCTAGCATTAATAGGATATTCCAGGAGCAATGAATATGTCCTTATAAAGTTTGGTTTGCTGATGCAAAAGCACCATTTCTCTGACTTTTTAATTAAAAAGGCACCTTCATTTCAAAGCCTGTCTCCAGAGCTCCAGTGTAAATGTTTATACAAGCCAGAGACATACAGAAAATAGAGAAGATTGAAGAAGCAGTGACTGCAGACTGCCCAAATACGGCTGCTCTTGTAATTTTAACACAGAACTTGAGCTGCCGCAGAGCCTTATCAACCCCAAACATCTTTGTTTTCATACCAACACAAGCCTGGCAGTATCACTACTGCTGCAGTTAGTTTGCTCAGCAAACCCGGCAGAGGGAGCAAAAGTCAGCACTGTGTTCTCACGGACAGGAGGAAAGGGTATTTGCTTCTCATCAGCAGAATGGCCAGTGTCAAAGCAGAGGAGAAAAGACAAAAGAAGGAAAAAAAAAAGCAGCTATCTGGTCTCATTGCCATGAATGACAACACTCCCATTCAAAACAGATGACTAGTTTTTCCTTAGGTCACACTAGGAATTAGACAAAAGGAAGATTCAAAAAAAATGCTGGGGTGGGGTAGGATTCCTGACTGGTCCAATTTGCTCCAGTTCCCATCTGGTTGCTCTTGGCTCTGAGGTGCTGTTCCCATGCCCCAAAACCAGGCAGAGCCCAGGTCCTGGCCCCATCTCCCTCAATAAACTCTTTCCCTTTGAAAAAGCTCTGGGTCAAACACTGTAGCTGAACAACAAAAATTTTGCAACTGCTGGAAGTTACACCAGATAGCCCCGATAAGAGACAGGCAGTTGAGAGTGGAGCTACAAAAGCCACACTTTACAGAGTTTCAGCAGTTCTGCAAAAACACTCTGCCATTATCCAAGCATATAGAAAAAGAGAAGTCAGAAAAAATTTGTATTTGCCTTTATTACAAGATATATTTCTACCCTTGTTGCATTCAGCAGATCAAAATGAGGTGTTAAAATTATTTTCATCATTGCAGTAGTACATACATATACAGAGTAAATACTGTATACAAATAGGCTTTGAAACAATAATCCATATCTACAAATAAAAAATACCCAATACCCTCTTTCTCCTCCCTCCCCAAATTACAGCAGTAACATTTTATCTTCAATGTAACTAATGCAACAAATATGGTATTCTTTCCCTCACATGACACAGCTGGAGCAGTATGGTCATCAGCTTCAAGAAAATAAACATCAGTCACTCCTCACTGATGCATATTCTAGTTTATGTGTATTGTATAAATAGAATCTAGTGTGATTTAATGTGTCTGCATATTTATGTTAGCCAAATATTCTTTTTGTAACAGAAAACAGCATTACACTGCAAGCAAGGTTGAATTTTTTTCTTTCACAGAAAGAGTAGAAATTTGTTAAACCATCACTTTTTCTTCTACATGAATTAGCAAAGCAGTTCAAATATTATGCATAAAATTGCTCAGCTACCAAATCAAAATGCCTTATACACTCTGAAAAAGTATGGTGATGTTTCTAGCAGGCTAAAACTTTGATTTTTATAAGTCTTTTCTGTAAGTAAATTTGATAAACATTAGTTTTAGAAACTAATTTCACTTTTCAGCTATATTTCAACTTTCAGATACAAAGGCGTATACAGTATGTCAGAAGTAAGGCGTTTAACTTCACAGAACCACAGAAACATTGGTCAGAAGGGACCCCTGGAGGTCATCCAGTCCAACTTCATGCTTGAAGCAGATGATTGCCAACACTAGATCAAGTCAGCCATAACTGTTTAACCGTCTTGAAAAACTCTGGGACGGAGATTCCGCAGCATCTCAGGGTTACCTGTACCAGTGCTGCACTACACCTACAAATCTGACAGAATTAAAATGACCACTCATTCATGCTATCATTTAGTTTGAAATACTAACAGCACAAACAACCCTGGATTAGCTATTTATTAAGTTATAAATAAACACATCACAGGTTTTAATTGTGGAGAACTTTCAGGGACCACCTTTTCTGGTGGAAGCTACTGTGTGTGGTACGTTAGGAAAAGAGATCTTAACTACTGTTAAGGATAAAAACCACAAAACTGACAGCCTCTTACTGAAGAGAAGGGTTGGTTTGGTTTTATTCTGCATAATAAATGGACTGAAATAGGCCTTTAACAAAACTGAATTAAAATAGGATGCAGTTAGCATATTCATCCATTTATTCAATTATTAATGAGATACTTAAGGTGTGGCTATTTTTAGAGATGCAACCATCTCAGCTTGGCAACCTGCAAAGCCCACTGATTGTCTTTCAGAAAATCCATACCACATTTCTTCCATCTTTAAGTAAAAAGATACTTGCATTTTCTTTAAACTTTCAAGAGAGCATAATCAGTCTGGGTTGTTAAACATTAATTTCTTCCTCTTTGTGTTTGTCTAATCCTGGTATCTCCAAAGTGGGCACGCACCTTGCCCAAAGCAGCAATGTTCATGTGAAAAGGAAGACTTAGGGAGGACTCACCACTGCATACTGCAGCTGGATAAAGGATTGCACTTATATTCATTACTATTGAAGGCACAGAGAAATCATAAATTGGCCCCCTGACACCGCAGATAAGGTCCGCAGCACTAAAAGTTAGAAAACCTCTACTTACAGAATTAGTATCCTACCTACGTTGCTATCACTCTTGACATGCAAAACCAGAATTTATTGAAACAGAACAAGTGTGAAACAAAGCAGCTGTTCCCAAACTTTTGGAGTGCTAACTAACCACAATCACATCTTAAAATCTCTCCTGGACCACTTTGCCTTCCTATTATTAAACTCTTAACTGAGAATACTACAAAGCAGCTGCAAAACATGTACCATAGCCCCACAGATCACAAGCTGGCAGAGACCACAGCTTGTGAACCACTGTTTTAGCCATATTGAAATACAATATACATGGAATCCCATGATGCCATTTTCAGTGTTTCAGAGAACAATTAGACTTTAAAATATATTTTAAAAGGGAAAAAAAAAAGGGGGGGGTTTCCTAGCTACAAGCACATTTGAGAATCATTTGGCATATGGTCTCTTGATGTCTACATTTTAAGTAAAGTACCGCATTGTGTAAAGGCAGACCATTTGGAAAACATTATCAACTGATCTGCAGTATTGCTTTTAGCATGCACAGTTAAGTCTTAAGGCTGTCACAAGCAGGTAGCAAAAACAGTATCTACAGCTTGTGTCTGGACAAATAAGGAAAAAAAAAAAAGAGATGAAAGAGGAGATTTCATTATCTTGGAGGAGAGCAAATTGCACTAGAAGTATCCGTTCTTTATGACACAAAACAAAAAAAAAAAATCCGTACAGTAAAAACCTGAGATGCATCATTCACCAGCATCAAAGTTCACATTCTAGCCAAAATAATGTTTCAAATAAAACTACTCCATTTTGACAAAATCCTCAGTGTTCTTGGCCCAGTAACAATCTTGAAACTCAGCACATTCTGTGGATAAGATGTCTTTACTGAAAATCACTGACTTCAGTAAGATGGGCACTACACACTGTAGCCTGTATTTTCAACTTGCACACTTACCTTAATCCAAATAGCTATCCTTGATGCATGGTACTTCTCAAATTGAGAAAGACTGCCAGAATCTGGCCATCTTATTTCATTTGCTTTCTATTTAGATTACTCATCATTTATTTCCTCAGAAAAGTGTTACCATGTCAAAACAACAGGCTGGAATAAATCAACACAGTTCAATTGACTTTGATAGCTACACTGATTTACAACAGCTGAGGGTCTAGACCAGTAATTAACTCTTAAACAAACAGTTGTTGGTCAAGGAAGGGGAAAGAGGAAAAATCATTTGCTCCTTCAGAGAAAGGAATTTTGACATATGGATTGCAATCCCTGTCCATGTCGCCAGATGATGTCATGAATGGTGAGCACCTTCAGCTCCCTTACTTGCAGGGGGTCCTGATAAGATGAAAGATTACTTCAGTGATGCAGAAAAGATACAGAACCACTTTACAATCTTATGGCATGTTTAACTGCAGCTCCAACATCACTCCACTTTTATTTGACCTTGAATAATGGAAATGTATGGCACAGTTTGAGGAGCTGGGTGAAGAGCTAAAAACGCAACTCCTGTTCCTAGTAAGACTCCTCCTTGTCATCTGGAAACGTGACTAAGTTTGAAAAGCATTTCTAAATTTGCTCACAGCAAAAAAATACAATGCTCACAACATCACAGATTCCAGCTGAACTGCCAACAGCAAAAGCCAAGTGGTGTCCTTTCGATACAACCTAACTCATTCTTTGAGCTGAGGCCAAAGGTTTGGAGATGCAGTTAAGATGAGGCTGGATGCACATCCTGAGTTTCAAAAGGCGGTAGAGGTTCTCTCCAGTAGGTGAACTGACTGTAGGTATCAGAACAAGGGAAGTCTGAAGAATGGCTTCTTTTCAGCAAAGGGAAAATGTGATCTACCACTTCACATAGTCTGACATAGCTGGAAAATAAACAAATAAAAAGAATGCTGAACCATTTCAGATCTTCTTACTTGAATTTTTCTAAGTCCTCAACTACTAAGCCATGGCTACTCTTACACAGACAAGTCACCCTCCTCAAATGAATAAAACTAAACTTGATTTTGGTGCCTAGCTTCCAGAAAGGATTCACAGTTCAGATAAGAAATCCTTTCATTCTAAGCACTGATACTTACTTAGTAAGAAACAGATGCCATTTTCTGCCCAGATCACCTGCTAAAATATTCCAGCCCCATATTTTGCTTCTCCATTTCTGTCCAGCTTGGCTCAAGCAGCTCCCTGCTCAATCAATTATTTGTATTTTATACACATATGGCTCCCCTTCAATTATGGACACTCTTAATATTACTCAAGGCCATTTCCATTCAGTGTTAGGTGCTACACTGCCTAAACATCTTGCTGGCAGCCCTCAGCCCTATCTTCAGATTTTTTTTTCTGGCTTTTCTAGATAGGAGCTCCAGGAAAAGGAAATTTTGAAAAGGCCATGAAAAGGCAGATGGCTTCAGGAAACTAGCTAGTCTCATTTTTATGCAGACTAGATTGTACGCTGATAATTCCTTCACATGATTACAGTAGATGGAATATATTAAACTAAAGACTAAACAATTTCTTTTTTTGTCAGTTTTTTTTGACAGTTTAACTGAAGGAAAGTGGAAAGTCTGTATTTTATTCTAAATTTTTTGTGTTTTGTTTGAAATATCCTAAGGAATCTCTCATTAGAAAAATCAAGTGCATCTTTGGGCAACTTGAGTCATAAATTAGAACAGCAAATTGATTGAGTCTATAAGGTGTCAGAGATAAGAGATTACTTACGATGAGATGTTTGTCTTTGCATGCTCTTGTATAAGCTCTCCTTTGGGATTAACTGTAAATATCCTGTTTAAAGAAACCCCCACCTGTTTGTATGAATAAACATCCTAAACAGAAGAGGAAGGTAAAAAAAAAAAGAAAATAAAAATAATTATTCTGCCTTTGCACAATAATGTTTATTCTTGCTGGAATATATTAAACGGAAGAATGTATTTGCACAGTATTGGTACTAAGATTACCTAGTTATTCCCCATTATGTTACAAACAAGGTCAGTCTGACAAAATGCTCATGAAACAGACAGTTTGCAGCTAGGTAAGGAGTTTGCCACTTCAGTTTATAGTATTGATCAAAATCATGTTCATTTTTTCAGTAACTTCCTTTGACACAAAAATAACATTCAATAAAAAACTAATGATACTTGGCGTAAAAGCATTTGGACTTTCATTTTTCTTTCAGAGAATATTTCATTCCCTGAGTGCGTTGCACCAACTATCTTGCAACAGTGTATGGAGGTTAAACTGACACTTAAAATAGTGATTAGTTTGTAAGGACAAGGTCACAAAAGGAAGTCATAACAACTGTGTCTACATTAAAACCTCTGGAAATATCTCTTAGCTCCTGAGTTCGAATTTGTGCCATATCCATATATTGACTCCACGCCAGAGCAACGAGGAAAGAAGGGAAAGCAAGGAGTATATGCCAAAATAGCAGCAGTGAGCCCCAGCAGATAATGCAGATGCAACTCTGGGAAGTACAACTATAAGTATGAATTAAGAATGTCTTCTAAGAAATTCAAATTGTTAAGGAAAGCAATGAGTAAGTTTTGATCTGAAGAAAATCTTGACAAAAGCAAAGATGAAAATAACTCCCAGAAGATCAGAGCAAAAACAAGCTTCTATTTTACTAATAGAAATCATGGGTTTAAAAGCTGAAGTCGTGAGATTGGTATGTTAATGAAAAAATAAAGATTATTTTTATGTCTATATTGTAAATACTGTTCAAAAAAAATTAAGTAACTGAACAAAAGTGAACAGCAGTCACTTCAAGAATTCTGCATCGTGGCAGTCCATGCACTATCTACATGTTTGCAACATCCACAAGTACTAAAATTTCACTGAGTTTGTTCTGGGAAAAAAACCAAACCAAAACAAAACAAGCAGTGCAGAAAATTGAGAAAGTAATGATCCTGATCTTCACAAAAGCACAGCTCACACCTGAAGACTGCACTCAAACAGGAGAGGAGTGAGTTGCCAGCAATTCCTTTAGAAATATTAACTTACTGCTTTACTTGAAATTTCATTGAAGTATGCATGAAAATAAGGATTTTATTTTATTTCCCTGAGGTTCAAAAAAATGGAACCAGAGGCAGACATCATCCATAATACAAAACCACAAAAGTGTTTAAAAAGTTATTTCAGAACCATATGTCTAAAGGTACCTTGATAATGGAAATTAAGCTCCATATGATATAACAACTTAATATAGGAAATGGACAGTGAGGTCCTCCTGTCCCCTCTGACATAATGCTTTTAAAAATGTAATTTGCTAAAAGATGAAGCTGAAAAAGTTTCTGCTCATAAATGTCAGCAACCCTAACAAAAATTTGAGACAAACGTAGAAACAAAGTCCCATCAGAAAGGCTTGCTGAATCCTCTCAAATGTAGCTACCAGCATCCATGTTTTCAGTGCCAAAATACCTTGCCAGGCACCTCTGTCCAACGTTTAGGCATCTGAATTGCCCAGTCTGTGTTCATATTCACACTGGCAATGGCCAGTGTCCACATTCATACTGATAATTTCCCCAACTATGAATGTTTCTGCTAGTGAACGTATCTCAGCTCTTACAGCGCTGAGCAGCTAGGGCTGGAATCCATGGTCCTCAGGCACTTCAGTTAGAAGCCTTTAGCTCTCCTGGAGTCAGTGGAGAAAGATGGCCATCTAGCACCTGAATTACTCTCCAGGCATGTCCCATTTCTCTCCACCAACTAAAGAAAGAGGTAACCAACCAAAGTGTTCTCTTGCTAATCCTGTTAGGAAATATGAATGGTCAAGGACCATTCTCTTCAGACCGAATGGCATAGCCAGCATACAGACATACAATTAAGTGGGTTTAGCTTCCAAAGCAGGGTGGATACACCCAAGCTGCATGCCAATGGTCCTTACCCATAAACTCCACACTGGTGTTACCAGGTTTCTTGTTACATGTTACTATGCTACACACCAGTTTCTACAGGAAATAGCACCTGCCAATACAGAGCTGGAAGAAGTACTGAACGCTCTGTGGGGCTCCTGGGCACAAATAAGGGGCTCATCTGCCTAGTTTAGTTAGCATCTAAACTTAGGTGCCCAGTGAAACTGTAAACATCTAAAGAAGGAGGTTTTCTACATATCCCCTTCTGGAAGTGGGATGCTTTCAAAGATTTGGAGGAGTGAAACAAAGCCTCTGTCCTTCCTTAAGCACCTATAATGATATTTACACTAGTAAACTAAACAGTGTGAGTGCCCATTCTCAGACATGAAAGTCCCTTGACATTGTATCCGTATTATTAAACTCTCTATACCCCTCCCCTCAAAAAAAAACAACAAACAAACCAAAACAAAACCCAAACCACAACATAAAACAATCCCCCACAGCCCCACATAACACACCCCCCCCCCAATATGGCTCTATCAGATGCCCATTGGGAGGAGTCTATTCCACAAGCTAACACAGCAACCATATCCAGAAATTGCCTGGAAGACTGCTAGCTGCCTGTGTCAAAACAGTCTCTTGGATCATGCTAACAATTTAAAAGAAGGGATAATCACATGCCAGGGTCCCTGTTTCTGCTGTAGCCCCTGAGACTGTCTCCTTTTCTGGATGCATAAAGGTATTCTTTGGGCTAGGACAGGAGTAAGAAAAGCCTATAGCCCAATTACACAGCCTTCAAATGGGTGACAGATACCTGTCTCCCCCTCTCTGTGTCAAATAACGTATCACTTTCCCTGCAAAGTAGAATCTTTTGATTTCAGTGGGACATCCAAGTTCTTTTCACTGTACTTTGAGTTTAAAGTCTAAGTTCCACCTCTATTCATCCAGAAGATTTTCTGTCTGTCCAGAGGTATCTCAGTGACACTGTATCAGTGTGGAGTAAAGAGAGATCAGTGTTTTCACACAAGCTTAAGGATTTTTTACATAGTTAGGATTTCAACCAGTATTTACTGTTATGCTAACTTATGCAGATATAATATAGTTACTTTGCTGCTCTTCCATCTCTGTTTGCATCCTACATTGTGAGGTCTTTGAGGAAGAATCTTTACATTTTCCTTTGTACAGGGCCTAATAAAATATTCTTAACTCACATTTAAAGCTTCTAGGTTCTGATGCAACAGAACTATGAAATAACAGCAACTTTTCTGTTCTCAATAGAAATAAATTCAGCTATTACTTACAGCAGGTCTGTTTCCAAAAGCAGCATAAAAGGGTTCTGTATTAGGATAAAACAAATTTTTTATGTCTGTCAAGCATTGAACTTTAAATTTTTCTGGCTTCTTTTCTATCACCTCCCTGAAATGATAAAAAAGGGAGGCTGAATAAGTACACATGAAATACAGCACAAACCATTTTATTTTCTTTATTCTATATTTTTCACCTAGCTGGATACTCCTATAGAGTCCCCACGCTTCTCCAACAAATCTTCATTTGGAAATCACATTGCCCATGAAGACAAAATAGCATTCCTAAGCTTACATAACGGGCACAGTAAATAAATCCTCTGAAACAAGGGAACTTCTACTGAAACCTATGTGGTAAAGATGGTTACTGAGCAAGGATGGTTGATTACAGGGAGTAGCTGCTAAATAAAGACTTATGAAACATAAGTTGTCATCAAGTAAACTGCTTCCTAAGAATTGCAGAATGATTCATAGATTATATTAGCCTTCACTGTGTATAATGGGGGTTTTGGGGGGTTTTTTGTTGTTGTTGTTTTTTAATTAAAAGGATTGCAGTTACCATATGTGCTATAAGCACCTCAGCCTGTCAAAATACTTCTACAGTCAGGGTCCTCCATCACTGCTAATTAGCAGAAGTTAAGGAAAAAAAGGAATCTTTTATTTCTCTTCAGTTGCTCCTTACAGAATACAGAATTAGTTAATGAACGGAAGAGTTCTCATCTCTCGGCAAAAGCCCTTTCACAACAGCTTCTCTTGGCAAGAAGGCTGAACAGGTGGCAGAGTCTGTAGTTCCCATAACATAGGAAGATGCCAGCATGACACAAAAGCCCTTAAGAAGCTCAGAATCCCACATCCTAGCACCAACACATATGTCAAGGAAGATGCGAATAGTATAGAAGCTTCATGGGAGTAATATAGCCCTTTGGAACAGCAGCTCCATGTATAAATCAATGTTTGAGAACGTGCAAAAAAGGAATAAAACCATCTTTCCTCAGTCTCCATACACCATAGCCCTCAAAATCACAATAATTACATCTATGGATAACAAGGAAGTCATTTATTGCCCACACATCACAACAGTTACAATAGTGCACACTGAAAGATGGGCATTCTTTAGTCTAAACAAGATACCAAAAAGAGTATCACTTTAAATATATTTCTAGATATGAGGAGTATAAGATAACAGGAACTATCCTTTCACTGCATTTATTATTTAATCAAAGAAGTGCACTGTAATACCTCCACAGTCTCTTATATTTAGAACACAACTGTTAAGACAGCCTGTAGCATGTCACTCAATCAGGAGAGCATCTGAACAACCTTCCATTAAAAATTCTAATGAAATATATCCTGTCACAGCAGCTTTTAACAGCTTAAAATATTTTCAGTAATCACTTGACACACTTCACTGCATTAAGAAGAAGGTATGATATTCATAATCTGTGCTATTATTATTCACTTATTACAGTTCAACACCTAGAAAGAACAACATTGACCACACAGAATACCACAGCGCAGTCAGGAGTGTAAAAAGTTCGTTTCATTTTTACATTAATTTCTTCAAAACCCACCAAGTAATGTTCTTCCACAAAAACATATTTATGCCAGTTGGAACACTTTACAAGTCAAGACAAGAGCGACTGTTATTAGTATGTGAACATTTTTCCCATAGCTAAATATTAACACACCATGTTAAACACACGAAGTCAACAGGCAGTACCTATTAGTAAACAGTGAACACAGATGTATATTGAGCATGTCTAAGAGATAAACTAAGTAACATGACTATCTATTCAATTTTGGTCTAACAAAATTTCTTCTTAATTAAATTTTGCACCAATATGTAAGAAAAAAACATTATGAATGATTTCAAGCACTCCCATAAAAAAAGCTGAGAATTCAGCCTCCACCACCCTCTTTTCTTTCTGCATAAAAGTGAAATTGCATTACCTGTGGAAAGCTGAGAATAAGCTGCTTGGACTCAGCAACACTGGCCCTTGAGGCAGCACAGTTCCTCGTTCATTGACCCAGTGCAAGTATCCTCTGGTCATGTCTGCCATTCCAATAGCACGTGCTGAGCAATACAAAAATTTATATCCATTTCTGTGAACAGAAATAAAAGAAGAAATTACTGTAAAAATAAAGCAGGTATTTTGACATTAATAGTTTTGTGGGTTTATTTTACATGAATCAAATCATGACTGTTAAACAGACTTACATTTAAGCTAGACTTATTTAAAAGGAATAAAAACATTTATGCCAGAAACTTGGATAATTCAAATCTGTCTAGCTCCCCTGCAGTTAGTGATTTACACCTAAAGAGGGCTCATTTATCTCTGGTCTTCGCATGACTTATGACTTCTTATGGTTTTCTATCCTTCCCTGCATAGTGGAACCATACTCCCTAGAATTAACTGAAATGACACCTGCTAAGAGGAAAGCACCTGACATAAAGCAGACAATGGTGTATTAGCGTTTGCTGTATTAATAGTGTTGTATTCCTGCCTCTTGGACCTCTGCAAAAAAAAAAAAGACTAGTCTGTGCAGCAGTAACATATTCCTTCAAGTCGGAGCAAATCTGAACTTCAAAACACGTTATGAGAAGTAATCTTTGACTTGACACTGAAATAAAAGTTTCAGCAGAAGTCACAGGTTACCCTTGGTTCTGTTCATGATAGTCCAATGATGTTAGTTCAACTTAATAGCAATTTACTTTGCAAGTCCTATAAAGAAATTATTGTTCATAAAATAAAGAAATACTGTATTCAGTGCACGCACAGTCATTAAATCTAACTATTGAACATTTATATGGTGTTCAGCTGTAATATCTAGCCACTACATAATTAACTTGGTAATTTGAAAAACAACATGACTCAAATCTACTTTCCCCCCACTATGTTTATGACCACCAAAGCCCTAACAATTGACAATGCTGGCAGCCATAGACATAAAAACTGCAATTAAAAAAATTAATTAACTTTTTCACCAAATGTAATGCAGAGGTTATACACAGAACTAAATACTACTCAGCATGTGAATTCCCAGGCTGTCCTGTCTTTTCTGTGACCACATATGTCTATACAGAACAAAAGCACAGACAAGTCTCTCTGGCATAATTTAGATTCCATCATCCGTAATTTGTAATTCATCATCTGTGTAAAACAAAAAGCAATAAACGAACCTTAGCATAACCCTAGTACACAGAACAAATCCGATTAACTAGAAAGACAGTTGTGATATGTACCAGAGGCTTTTCAAACACTTCTGGTAATTTGAATATATAAGAACAGCTGAATTTAATGTAATAAAAGAAAACCAATTTTATTTTCTGTGTAAAGCAGAAATATCAACCTGAACAGAGAGCAATCAGTAATCCTCCTTGTAAAAGTTAAAATCAGATACTTTATCTGATCCCATTCAGACATCAATTAATTTTTCTCCTCACTTCCTTTCTTCTCTCAATTGCTAATCACAAAACTCACCATGCTCAGTCTTTGATCCTCCAGTGTGCGCAGTGGCTTGACTACATTGCAAAATGTATCCAGGGAACCAACAGTACACCTGTACTCTTGCACTAGCCTTGCTCACCTAGAAGCATTCCCACACATCACCCCACATGAGTTGGTACAGTCTGATTGTTTTTATCCTGTTCATATTCATCAGAGGAAATATCCCCAGGTTTTTTGGAATATATAGTTCTAGGCCATACCAGGATACTCTCCAAGTTAATGACATTAACTGACCTAAAGCACAGCTGATATACTGTTGCCTAGTATTTCTTCAATAGGTAATGGAAAAAACAGTTTTTTCAAAACATCATTAGATCTCAGGGATATCGAGCTACTTTTTGAAGATGCCTGTCTTTCTCCATGAATTACACAGAGTGTACAAGCCACAAGCAAACATGATGAATCCAGGTCTTTCCACCCACAGTGGCACAGAAGGTATTTATTACTGTGGATCAACAGGCACCAGTGCAGGTCAACTATTGAGCTATAATATAGCAGCTCACACACACTGGTGTTGCCAGGTAAAAGCCTGTTCCTCAGGCTCTTCACAGCATACATCTTACTGACTTTCAATGCCTTTAAATTGCACTTTAAGCGATGTTTCCTTATCACCTACTCTCAAAATTAACCAATGACACAAAAATATTTTAAGACTGATCCTTCCTAACTTTGCTATTTAACAATGGAATAACAACAAATATTTATATGCAGAAATAACAAAATAAATTGTATAATCATCAGTAGTAAAGATCACCGTTGATGTCTTTGAAGCTTATCGTTGTTTATACAACAAATAAAACAAGAATATTAGCAGTGAGTATCCAAAATGGGTCTGTTTCTACTCAAGATAAGACATTGTGTTGTGCTTTAACGGTGTGATTATCTTGCTTCACTAGAAGCCTGATGTTTAGATAGTTCAAGTCTAAGCTGTTTCACTGAACTCCCTTTCTACTCACTGGAAAGGGAGGGAACTCTCCCAAACGGATTCATCCCATGTGTTTTAGATTCCATCCCTGCATGACTCCAGGCAAGTCAAGTTTGGCAAGAACAACTCCACATACAGTGACCAGCCTAGGCTAAACAGTCCTTATGCATTTTACAATCTCCTCAACAAGGAGAGAAGGGAAGGTGTATTAGCATCTTATGAATTAACACTGCTGCAACTCCCAGTTAGCAAGAGTTCCAGTTGTGCTGCAGCTGCACAACTCATTCAAATTACTACAGTTTTTGGAACTAACTGTAACTGTCCATTTGGGATGGCTGGAAGAACAATCACTACTCATTGATAGGGGGCTTTTGATACCACAAAGCAGGTTTTGCTCTGGATATCATACAGCAGATGTTTACACTATGTAAGCACCACTGAAGTGACGAGGTATTGATGAAATTGTCACCCTTACAGGTTAAGACAAGCCTGGAGAAATTCTAATTTTTATGTGCAAATGAATAAACAAACAAGCCACAGATGCATGAACAGATTTACTGAATACTCACTGGCTCACTTTATGGTACAACTTTGCGATACCTTGGTGCGTCCAGTCTTTGCCAAGAGTTGGCAAAATATGACCTAAAGTATCCGACCTGAATAAAGGAAAAACAATATAACTGAACTGAAAAAAACCCAATACTTATAATAACTGTTGAGGCTAATACAAACCCCACTAACTTATTTGGCTAGCGGCAAAGGAAAATAAGATTTTCTGTAAGGTACTGATCATGATCAGAAGGAGGTGATTTTATTCTCCCCTTTTTTTTTTTTTTGAGATAGGCTGACATCAGTGTTATCAACATTCTTCTCATACCAAACTCAGAATCATAGCACTGTACCAGCTACTAGGAAGACAACTAACTCTATCCCAGCTAAAACCAGGACACATGTCCATCCTTGGCCACATTGTTTTAATTACTCTTGTGCCCCAGGACTTGTCTTCATGGATAAGCTCACGACCCACAAGTTAACATGGAAGTTACAGCATATAGGCTATCAATCAGACCTGTGTAGTAGGCCAGCCAGTAATAAGCATGCTTTTTGAGGTTTACATTAAATGTTTTCTAAATAAACCAAACCTACCCATAAGGGAAGTTTATGGGAAATTGCAAGTATGAGGTGTCACATTCTAGCTTACTTCAAACCAACTTCTCCACATAAAGCTGGAAGTTGGTCATGTATAAAGTATTATGGTTTCAATGTATTTTCCTCTTTACATGAGAGAAAATTATTTACACTATAATAACACCTAGAAATTCAAACAAATGAGCACCTCACTTGACTAAGCATTATGCAGATACACAGCAAGAAAACCACACCCTGAATATCTTGCATCTTAGAGAGGAAAACACCGGGCACTGGCTTAGGATGGATTTGCAATGATATTGTAAGGTGAAGTGATTCAGTAACTGTCTGGCCACCTCAACAGCAGAGAGAAGAATAGATCCCATTCACTCTACTGAAGCTTAAGAAAACAAAGCGGGGGGGATATTAATTTATATTGGCACCAAAAAAAACATTTGCCCTACAATGGATAAATCACAAGGAAGAAAAGAGTTCCAGTTTAAATCAAGTATTTTAATTCACCCCAGACTGCTCTTGGAAATTGCTTTTCCTTGTTCTTTTTTCTAATTAGATATAGCTAGGTTTGGTTTTGAAAGAAATTGATTCTGAAACAAATCTAAGCATTTCATTTTAAAAGGTCAAAAGACAATGCTTGTATTTTTATTATGTGTTTCCATGTTCCACACAATTGTCTTCCCCAGGGTTAAATAAATAAATAAAAATCAGCAAGTAAATGAATCATTTTGGTCACTCCAAAGTTGTGGGTTTTACCCAAAGCACTAATCTGAAACTTTCCATCAAATTCTAATTCTGACATTGATTTTAGAGTCTTACCTTCTAAATAATAATGCCTCTCACTGGAATGCCCCAATAATGCCTTTTAAAACAGAATTCACGTGTTTTTTCCTTTTAATGTAGCCAGTGTACTTCATAAGTGTGATGCAGCAAAAAGGTTAAGATTTTGCAGAAGGTCCTCCAATACTACTGTAAATACTATCATGAAACACCAATAGGTGACAAACAATGGGCACACATAGCACGTGACTTTATTAAATTAATAATTCAGCTAATGATTCCTGCATTGCTTGAAAGCCAAATAAAAAAAACCAAACACACACCCCACACATGCAAAACACTAGAATATGATAATTCTGTGACTCAAAATTCCCTGTTAATTACTTTTTCCTTTAGTCTAAAGGACTATCTGTCCTTGCAGATAAAGCCTCTCCCTGTTCATGAACTCACCGTGTGATTGTTCCATCAATATCAGAAATAACTACTTTATCATCCCAATTCCATAGGTAAATCGTGCCTTCGCAGCGGCAAGTGCCTTGATACTGTGTTGTAACACTAAAGGTCACATCATTTGGGCCATTCTTCAGCTTTAAGCTTTTCTGCAAGGTATTATCAGCAAGATAATCAACAAACTGAGCATGTGAAACTGACGCAGTGCAAACACAAAGCCACAGATGATCATTGCCTTGGTCACACTGAATCTTATTGCTTTCAGCAGAGCTATTGTCTAAATAATGATAGCAGAGGAGCAGAGGTTTGCCCTGTGTGGTATACATTAGACGCCGATTTATAGAGCAGAACAAAACAAACAAACAAACAAATCTGTTTCACAGTCAGCAATTAAAAAAGAAAAAAAAAGGAAAAAAATCCCCCAAAGGTCACATAAACAATAACAAATTATGGAATAGGGACTATCTATAGGGGTTTTCCATTCTGAGATATAGATACATATGCAGAGAGAAATGTGGGTAACAAGGAGTTCCATGAACTCTAATTAAATGTTTATATGGGGATTTGTGTTCTGTGGTATTACATCTCTTTCCTATAATAACGCACCTCTCATACCATATGACCTATTACCCTTCAGTCTCCACTGAATTTCCTTAAGTCTCCCACTTCCCTGCTCTTCTCTCCCACTGTCTCCTGTGTCATTTAGCGACACACTGGGCAAGAGACTACTGATTTGATTCTATTTGTGGACCTAACTATTCATTTTCACAAAACCTGCAGGAGTTTAATACTTTGTCCCTTTTTCTTAGTTATATTTCACTGCAACTGTTCAGCAAGTTAAAAAGTGACAAGGAGGTGAGAATGCAGAACAACTGATGGGTAACTGGTGAGCCTCATCCACTGTTTCATCAAGAAACCAATCTGAAAGTAGTTTTAGCTTCAGCTGATTTCTGCAAGGTTTCTAAATCTGAGAAGTATCAATATATTTGTGTAACCCTTGCTTTCTGTTTGCTACAGAAAATTACCAATACATCCCATCTGTCTCTTGGGAAAAACTCTACATTTCTTACAAAACTATTCAGGCAGTGAGTGACGGGCTGTTTCATGCTGTACGCCTTGAGTGGGCTTCCTTCAGAAAATTAATTGGGTGTAGATAAGACAACAAAGAGTATTTCCCTAAAGTAGCCATTTTTCCAGATCAAATTGGAATGTGCAGAACACAGAACTGTGACAGTTTTGTCACCACTAGTCAAAACACCTCTGTCACAGAGGAAGAAAACTGGCTCCAAAGAAATTAATAGCCTGGCCTCATAGTAAATCTGCAAGCAGCTCTTTCAGAAGTTACTAACAGAAAACCGTATTTATGTAAAATGTGACTGTCTGCCTATAAATGAGGGGAAAGGAAAGGAGAGGAGGAAAAAAGAAAACAGAGAAGAGAGGCCTGTGGGTTAACATATACACGTTATACATAATACAAAAAGCACGTGGTTCCAGTACACTTATTCAGGTGACAAATACATAATTTGCAATTTAATTTTGGTATTTTTCTAAATGGGATCCCATGTCTCCCAATCTCTGAACCCCAGCACTTGCTGCAAGGTACAAAATTCATGCTTAATACTGAAAAGAGAAGGGAAAAGGGTTTTTTTTGAAAAATATAACGAGAGAGAGAATTAAATACAAGACATAAGAGCTAATCAAGCTTTGCAAGCCTGAATAACAGTATTGTTCATGTTGTATTAGAAATGACGTTTCAGGACAAGGATGTAAAATTAACTCACAAGTTGGTCAGAAGTGAGTCGAAGTGTTTTTTTGTAACTGATTCCAGACAATAATGAGAGATGACTTGAGTTGGTTTGTAATGACCCGAGGTTTTGTTTGGCAGCTCTAGGGTCTTCATCACTTGAAGAAGATTCATCTTTTATTCTGGAACATTGAACACACAGAAAATGATGTTATCATGTCAGTAAATGCATCTTAGTATCCATTAAAAATGCATTAACAGTGAGTCACCAAGTAAGTCATTGATTCTCTGCTCATAAGTACTGTCCCACAGGAGGTCATTCACATCATGACTTGAAATATATCAATGAAGTGCCGCATTTTCATTCATGCATGTTCCCCATTATTCATACTTGGATTGCTCTAGCCATTCATTTGTCTATAAGCTAGTTTTCATTACTTAAATTTAACAGATGTAAATTAACATGCCATATTGACTCAAAAATCTTATAGCAGAAAAAAAAAATACCCATTACATACTGTAACTAAAAAAAAAAAAATCCAGGTGATGGGAATTTTATTATAGAAAGTAACTCCTCCTCCTCTTTCAATGACCAACTTTAGATCATTGGATTATTCTTTTCCAGGATTTGCAGGATTACCCCATTCAGTATATGATGATGAGAAGTCATAAAACCTGAGCTCCTTTACACAATTCTGTTTAAATACGCATCAGTATAATGGGTTTTTTTTCCTGTTACAATCATTTCTTCAGAAATTTGTTAAGGATATTTTTCTTCAGAGAGAAAGTTTTCCTACAGCAAACAAATCTATCACCTTAGTTGGAAGGCAAAATACCCCTTCAGATCCTACAATCAGCATTTGGCCTCTTATTCCAGTCACACCTGGATGTTGTTCGACGTTAGGAGTCTTGACCCAATATCAAGGTACGGCATGTCATGACTAGTAACATTTAAAAGCCTATCTTATCCTTTGTAACATCAGATCTCAAAAGCTTTACTCAACATCCCACTTGTCGCATTTTGCTTGCAAGCAATAAATTCTTAATGACAGATTTCTAAGGTCAGTTAAAATTTAAACAAAGAACACCAATTACAGAATCTAGTCTGCTTGAAGTCTTAATCCCACTTTAAAGCTTATCTTTAAACAACCATGTAAGAAACAGACCTAAATGTCACTTGTCATCCCTAAAATCAGCCTTTCCGATTTATTCTGTGGCTCTCAAACTCAGAGAGGCAACTGAGATAACAGCTAGTCTCCTATAGAATGAGGAATCCTCCTTCCAGCACATTTGCCTGGATTGCAACTGCTGACCTCCAGGAAGAATGACAGCTAATGCCTTTTTGTTTCATAAAGGTGATCCTTGAACTTAACTTAATGAGCATAAAGCATATTTGAATCCGTTCCTTTTCAGCTCTAAAGTGCAGACAGCACACAGTCTTTACAGTAAGACCTGTCTTTACAGTAAGACCTGTATGGACAGAAAAGGGGCAAGGTAGGAGAGCTGTCCCTAGCTAACTCATCCCTCCAAAGCAAGTTAAAACTCATCTTATGGAACCCTCCTGAAGGAGAGATTCTGGCCATACAGTATGATTAGTTTGGAGCACAAGAAGGAAGAGACTTCTGCAATCCTTGAAAGAAGTAATAGAAAACCATGACTATTGCTTGTGAAAAGAACTCTGGAAAGCCTTAGGCCTCCACAAATATGCAGGAACAAATTAAGTTGTCAGGCCATAAATATAAGTAAATCAGAAATTTTAGCAACTAGGATCTGACAACAGCATAGAGTCATCTGTGATGTTCCCTTGAAAACTCTTAGAGAGATACATATAGCTTCAGAGAACTGTTCCAGTTATTGTTTCAAGGGGCTGGAATGTGTATCACGGAGCTGCCAACCAAACCACAGAAACACCAGAGTGTACTCACAAGGTCTGCAACCCTGCCATGAGTAGAGCCTTCCTATCTGCACTTATTTGGCGCAATGAATAACACATAACATATTTCACTGACAGAATATTTCTTTGTTCAAATATAAGAGGTAGCTTGCTTTCATTTTTAAATAGTAACTCCTGCTCATTTCAGATAGAGATAATTTTGGGGGTACCTGTTTGCCATGCTCATCTGTGAAGAGTCTTCTCCAGTAAGTCCACTCCCACTCATACCTTGCTCTGGCTTTGTTTCCTGTAAAAATACAAGTATGAGAAGCTGTGCATCTCCTGTTGGGCAGAGAGCAAATGTTTTTAGAAAAATATCTGAAAACCAAATTCTGTCTTGTACAGATTTGGTAAAAATCAACAGCATGTTTGCTTCCTTTGCTTGTAGGCAAAGTAAAACTTCATGGATTTCTTAAAGAATAAAGGCTGCACAAAGAACTAAAAATTGCAAATATAAAACTCAAAAGGAGAATTAAGATTTATTTTTGCATGGAAGAAGTACAGAAATATCAGATTTCACATCTAGTACTGTTGAAATTCTAGGATCAATCCCATAACTACTCAGTTCATGCACCTCAAATAGCTAGTGAAAAAGCAAAGTATGACTCTGGAGAAGGAAAAAAAAAATACAATTACCTTTCATAGAATCATTGAAATCTTTAATCCAATAAAACTTTCCAAACTGCTTTTACCTTGAGTAGATGCTAAGCTCTATCAGTTTCACCCCATAAGATTTTTAAATAGTGAATGATTTTGAGACACACAAACAATAACACCTCCCCTTATCAATTTATAGCTGCCACAGCTCAAGAGGTAGCCAAATACTTCCACTCAGAGAGAAATTCTAAAAACTTCAAACTGTAAAAACTAAAATCTCATGCTCTGAAGCCCATACCCACAGATCAGTACAATGGTTATTTCATGCAAGGCTAAAAAAAGTTCATTGACTGAGGCACAATCATAAAAATGTATTAGAAGTCATTTTCTCCCCTCAAGTACTAATGCTTCAGTAGTATAAATTAATATGAAGAGGTTTTATTGGCCAACTTTAAAGATTAAATATGTCTAGACAGGAGATCAATATTTCATATAGAGTTTTGCTTTTTTCACTGTTCTTTAATGTTCATCCATGACTTTAAGACTGTTACCACAAACTTTTAATGCTCAGAAAAGAAATTCAGAAAGACTTTAAAATTAATATATAGTCAGTTTTCCATCTGAGGTTTTGCTGAATTTTACAGCTCACACTACTCATAAATACATCTATTCTTCAACTATCAAAAGACAGCTGCAGAAAGGTAGGTAATCTGCACAGAAACGTTAAATTAGTGGCACAGCTCTTGGATTCTAGGTTCCCAAACACAAATTTAATCCATTAGATAATACTGCCTCAGATTTGCATAATGAAAACAAATGCAGAATCGAAACACTGCAGGGAAATGTTTCAGGTAGGGTCTTATCCAAAGCTTTCTGAAGTCAAAAGAAGTCAGACTTTAGACTCTGTTTAAACATCTTTTAATGTGTATATCCTCAGTCAAATTGAATAATGAGTTACTCTCAGAAGCAAAGTTCTGAGGGATGAATACGGAGGTATCCAGCCTTCCCACTTCAACCAGAAGGAAACTCTGCTTGCTTCTTAAACTTACCTCTTTAATAGTGCTGTTCCTCCCTCGCCAGGAAAACCACCACCTTCCACCTTTTTTGGGCATCTTGTCCCTCATTATAGATTCCACAGTGGCCTGTGATAAATGGATGGTAACATAAAAAAAAAACCAAAACAAAGGACAACCTGATATATGTAAATGAAAGAAAGTGCCAAATACACAATTTTAACTGATAATAAATAGAATAAAAGTAAACATACTGTCTGTGGACCATAAATTCTACTAAAGCAAAATCTAATGGTATCCAGAGCTGCTCTGAAGTAACTTAAGCATGAATACTTATGGTATTTTTAAAAGGAAAATGAAAAAGAGATAAAAGCAAAGAAGAAAAAAAAAGCATAAATAGATATTAGTATAATGTCTAGAATGGAGAACCTACTGTTTTTAAGTTGAAGTTATTTAGTGCAAATTATATTAAAAAAAAAGAAAAACATCACTCCCTGAAGGAGCTCTCGTGCAAAACAGTAACAAACCCACATGCAAGACAGATACTCTCATTTAAAAATAACTAAAAAGTTCATATTTAATTACCAATCTGGAAAAAAGCAAAGATGTTACTAGCATTTATGAGTTTAGTATGGTGCTATGAATTTGACTGACAATGTTAGAACTGTTTTTTTTAAACCCAGGCTACTTTTCACTGGTTATGTATACTAGACTTCAGCAGAGAAAAGTTTCTTTCAATACTCATAATGACTGGAGCCTTATGCATTGTAACAAGGAGAGCTGAATTCTTTCACTCAGAGAACAAGCGAAAGACAAAAGGGGAAAATACTACAGTAAAGGTGGCCACAGTGTTTGGTACATCCTGGAATAGCTTAGCTACTGGCTTTCTGGGATGATAGCCTCCACTGTAAGCAAAGTCATGAAAATAAAACTGGGACATTGATTAGTGATTTAAAAAAAAAAAAAAAAAGATTCGAAGAACTCTTAGCAGTTGAGAGGGTTGAATTCAGCTAATGTATGGGACAATGCATCCCTTTTCTCAGTTTTTCCATAGGTTCTCTTCACTATACTGTCTAAAATATATGAGAAACGAAAGAATGACAGAGGAATAAAGTTGTGCAAGTAAGTTGACAACTTTTTAAACAAAAAAAAGAAAAACAAGGACCAGATGGAGCTACTGAGAACTGAATGCCACTTGAGAACAATGAGTACAGTTTAAGGAGGTTCTCAAACATATGGACAACTTCAAGCAGATGTCTTATTGACTTTTAGTGAAATAATTCACATGCATACAATTAGACATGCATTTAAGGGTATTTTGCAGAACATGAGTAATTTTTTTGCAAAGACTCCAGTTTTCAATCACTTCATAGAACCTGTTTTGATAAAGTATCTTAGTATTTCAATTCCTTAGTTCCATTATTACAGCAAATCAAAATTCTAATTAACAAGTCATTACAAAAACCAGTAGGTTGACTGGTAGTGTAAATGAATAATTTTAGTTTCAGAGGTACAGTTCAGCCAAGTAAACCTTCCCAATCATACAGACTGTTCCAACTACATATACTGGCTTCTCCACTAAATTAAAATTGCACTGCCTAGAAAGTTATCAGCATTCAGAATATAAGTTAACCATCAAAAAAACCAAACACTGAATTTCACACTCATAAAAGACTTTTCTTAACTGATAACCTATACAAATGGTATAACCACAATGCTGTTGAAAGAATTGCCATTTCCCTTAACAGAAAAATATTTCATACCACTTCTTTCCCTTTACCCATCATAGGCAAAACACAAAATATCTGGCTCAGGCATCGAAGTGTTTAATTAAAAATGCAGTTACCTTGCATTATCTTTATTGCTAATGAAGACCCAATAGGTATCTATCAAGGTCTGTATCACTCTGTGGAAGTGCCCAACAAATACAGAGTAGGATAACTATACACCTTCTGTAGGCATTTGATTTCCATGGGATGAATTCCACCTTTGATGATTACTAGAATATTTGCAGTAAAGCACAAAACATCTGGCTCTGTGACATCCTTGAAATTCAAGCCAGGTTTACCTGATGTTTGGGACTTTTAGAATCAATTTACTTTACATTGGGATGCTACAGCGCAGCTACGCACGACTGCGTACACAGGAAATGTGGCACTAAGAACGAACACTGGTACAGAATATTCTGGGCTGTGAAGAAATTTTTATTCCGCATTCATGGCAATAGAGATGGCATTTGAATTCACATAGATTAAACCCAAAGACATGTGAAGTGCTGCAAATGGCAGAAGGAAAGTTTAAGTTCCAAAATTTACTAAATCTATGGCTAACCGTGACAAAAAATAGTGCCAGTGCCGATACTACTTCTTTATATACGTTTACAGCAGTGTGTATTTCTGTCCTGAGCATCTGTGTGGCACCAGGTCATGTAAAATTGGACTAAGTTCAACAATGCATTTAATATAAGCCAACATATATAGCTGTCACATAGTTGTAGCTATCTGCACTGTCTACCTGAGTTGGTTATGAACAACCAACCAAGAAATAGAAAACTAGCAAGCTACAGGCCTTCCTTATCTAGTAGTTAAAGCTCACTCACCGACATTAAAATTCCTGGCCTCTATTTTTATTTGATAATATATGCTATATACAGATAAAATGGAAAGCAGTCACCAAGTATTCAGCTACAGCAAATACTAACATGGGTCAATATAATTTATGTTTACAATCCATATTACTGAAGGAAAACAGGAAGTTTTCCTTCTTCAAAATATTTGTAATGATCTTAGATTAGCAAGTAAATACTATTCACAGACCAAATTTAGTCCTGCTTGTTTAGCCTTTAGCATAAGCTAGATGAATGGTTATGTGTGGATAGATATTACTGATGTGCAGATTCTCTTGTACAACAACCCTCTTAATAAATAAACTATAATAATAATAAACGCCTTAATAAATGGCAGAACGTCACAACTCCTCTGACCAACCTTCATGTTCAATCTCACCTTTGGCAAAGGTTTCTGGAAAGCCTGCATTGCCAGCAGAAGGGGACCAGCTGTTGTCCAGTTGTAGTACCTGGTCATGCAACAGAGACAATTACTGCATTTTGTAATCCCAAGGTTCCAATTCACAATCTACCTAGTATTTATCATCTGGCAGGTTAAAGCCAAAGCCATGAAGCCTCTTTAGCACAGGTCAAACTCTGGCCTGCATCACTAATAGCAGACCCACCTTATTCCACAGTACGTTCACAGTTATTTATGGCATGTACTTTTCAAGGTGTGCAAGGGAAGCTAGGTCCTTAAGTAGAAGGGTATGTGTTGTACGTTCCTCATGTTGTTACTATACCTCATTATCACAGCATGAGCTACATTTTTCACAAGCTGTTTTCACTGTTTTTCCATCAAGGAACTACACAAAAGTTCAGGGCTGTAGTCTGTAGGATATCAAGTTTTTGCTATTATGTGCTGAATGTGGGTCAACTCTTGTTACAGACAGTAGGACAAATACAATATTATCATCCATCTGTCTAGGGAACCTGAAGCTCACATGACATCCAGAGAATATGACAGTGAGATCCTCACTAAGTACTCCACTCTTCCCAACATATCAGTAGGCAGGCAAACATTACCATCAAATTCAGAGAACTATGGCAGGGAAGCAGTAAGTGACTCACCTCAGACCACAGAGAGGGGCAGGTATGAGGCCGTAACGCACGCAATACAAACTATCACATCAGGATGCACCAGGCATGTCAGATTTGTATGAGCAATGTCTATGACTCAGGGTAGCCTAACCTCTAAGTGCAGCACAATGCCACGATGTCTCCTCTACTCTGTAACACTGTATGCCAGGTGCAAGGAGCTCTCAAGTTAAAACATCCTCCAAAAAGCTGCATCTGGCATAGACCATAGTGCTGCACTGATGCCAGCAATATAAACGCATGAAATAATATCTTAGCCTTGCAGAAATAGAAGTTTCATACTCGGTGGGCAAGTTTGACAAGTCTTGAAAAGCAATGCCTCCATAGAGGGATATTAGCAAAATATTCAGTATACACAGACAACCTGCTGGGTACAGAGTGCTTGCAAGCAGACTGCCATATCCCTGTAAAAATTATTCAAACTGGCTCAGGGCAAGCCTTAGCAAGTTCACATTCTGTTTCATTTTAGTCTGCCAATTGAGTGTGAACACTATTAGCATTTAATACTAGCTTCTTGAAATTCAAATTGTGTCAGTTAGCTGTAACAGGTCATCTGAAACTGCTCTTTACTCTCAATTTAAAGGAAGAAAGGTAACTAGAAGAGCCTGAATTCGCTACAGAGTTGACTCTCTCTGGATGAATCTAAGCTACGAACATTCAAAACCTGTTTTTCAGCTACAGTGAACTGATCTAACACACTGAAGTGCCACAGAAGTGTTTTTGTTACAATAGCAAAATATTTTTTTCCTGAAATATACTTACTTATTTCCAATCTTAACCACAAGGTTAGGGTCGTCAATGATAGCAGGATTGTCCACAAACTGCTGATATGTTACTGCATGTTCTAAAAATTCTTCTGTGGGGGGAAAAAATTACATACATAAAGCATGCGTGTATAGATGCCTGGGATGGGCCAACCTAAACCTCTTAGCATCTCTCAGACACATAGGTTTGACACATTGACACATTCAGGGTCAGCCCTTCATTACCAGGGTGCTGAGATTAACAGTAATATAGAAGCAAGATCTTCAGAGACTCTCAGTCTCAGAAGATGCTGAGGGTTTCTTTGTTAGCTGCTGGGTGTCTTTCCTGTTCAAAATACAAGCTAAGTGAAAGCTCAGGGATGGAAGTGTGAGGGAGGAAAACCAAGCTTCTAAGCAAGGCAGGGAAGTACTTTGTCATGCCTTTCACTGATGCTCTGTCCGAGTTAGGAGCAGGAAATGATGGACTCAATCTATGTGTAACTCATAGCCAGAAACTTAATTATTACTTGTAAGGCCTTCAGCAAAATGAAAATATTTATGAATAAACACCCTTTCCACTGCCTGTGACTGCTTTCACAAAATCTATGTAATTCACAAGTGATCCAGATAACAAACACAATTCCAATAAATCACAGTATATTTGAAATGTTTTAATAACTAGCTTCTGAACAGCAATCAGTGTAGCATCAGTCTCATACAATTTTCAGAACTGCAGAAATTGCAAGTCTTAACACATTTATCTTCACATTATGCAGCTGGAAGTTTAAGGCACAGAGCATTGTAAATGATTTATCTAAAAGTCACACAAGAAATTGGAGGTAGAGCAGGAACTCAGGTTAAAGTTTCCAACTCCCCCTGCTAGTGTCCCCATTTACGGACCACCTTTTTCATTCCTGACACTAACAGCTGTGAATTTCCTAGCTTTATACTGCACCAAGTAGCAAAAGTACCATTAACAGTATTGTGATACAAAACGTAGTACTATCAGGAAATAAAAAGACCAATAAAATACCTTCAAAAAATTTCGTATACAGTGAATCATTAAAATGTGTTAAAAATCATAAGTCCTATATGTCTCCTATTTTAAGTATGAGAAATTCTAGGAAACTTATCATTACAGAAAAGTATTTATCTTCTCAACACATTCTTGAGTACAGCCACAGGAGGGCACTGCTTCCTCGGTCTAGGATGCTAAAACTTGGCTGACAGCACATGCCTGTAATTCAGAAAGTCATTCTGTACCTTTGGTTATTTCTTTGTTGTCAGTAAGGCCTCCACAGAGAGAAATAGCAATGGAGGGCAAATCTCGAATTCCATCCGAGGTACTTTCAACTCCACTGTCAACACCTGAGCTCCCGACAGACTGCGGAGACTGGCTGGCAGACTGCAGCCCCGTGTCGTTCGTGTTCTTGCATTGGACATTATCCCCACTGGAAAACAAAAAATCAGGAATTCAGTCTTCATGTATTCATTCCCAAATTCGCTCCCTTCAACAAACACCATTTATATCTGACACACACTTAATTAAAAAAAAAAAGAAAGAAAAAAAAAATTTTGCTTGTTTAAATTTTAGGGCAAAAGCAAAGTAGTATAGGCCTCATGTACCCTCAAATATTAAGATTGTTTCTACTTACTCACCTAAACTAAGCATGTATAATTATAGCTTCACTTATATATAAGAGATAGGAAAAATAAGACAATAAACTGTACAATCTTAGTAGACAAAATAATGCTACTATAAGCAGAGTTTATACTATTAGAACTGTTCCCACATAGGAACAAGAATAAACATATTAGTTTATTATTTAATTTATATTAATTATATAAACTGATAGCTAAGCCCAAAACAAAGGATGTGTATGTTTGCGTATTTGTATGCCATGTATATATAAATAAAATACTCTACATATAAACTACTAGGACTACAATTTTAAGAACCAATAAATCACTATACCCACTTAAAATCTGTGTATAGATGAGATCATTATTACAAAGTGCAGGCTCAAACTCTGCAATCCATTCCAGATTTATATGAATGTATTTTGAGAAAAGAATTTAATCCAACTTTTTTTTCTCCATATTGCTAATCTTTCTCAGTTTTATTGAAATGCTAATATTACAACAGCTGAGTTTAAGCAAGCAAGAAAGAAAAATAAAATATGCCAGCTACTTTAGTTGTTGCTCAATGACTTTAGTCAAATGACTAGAGTAAGACATGGAAAGAGGACTATAAATGTTATGAGAGACTCTAATAAAGATCAGAACAAGTTGGAAATTATATGTTCAGAATGCAATATTTTCATAAATCAATCTGTCATGCATCTTCCAAAAATTATTTTCTAACATTCATATTTATAGGTGATCACTCACAGAACAACAACATTGGAGCAATAATTTTGTGCTAATACTGTTAACAGTAAGATATGTTCTTCATGGTAATAAGCAAGGACATGGGGATAAAAATATCCCAAGGCCAATTGCTCTCCCAGGGCATGTGAATAACACTCACAAACATCAGTGTACATTACATAACAACCCACAATCAATATATGATGCTTAATTGACCAAAACAGAAAATCTGTTTCAAGCACACTTCTCAGGCCCAAATACAGAGCCTTCCAAAAGCTCTAATATTCCTTTCTACAGAGCCTTATTTTCCTTCTGCCTTCACCTCTGCTTGGACTCTGAAAAAAAAGGTCTTATCTGGTTGGCAATGAAGAGTTTGATCTAAATCTGGAAGGTGACAAGAGCTCTTTAAATAGTAAAAATATAAAGCAAACGACTTATACTTCTTGGGGAAATAAAGTGCAGCAACTTCTGGATCCATGTCAGTGAGGTCATCTAAATAGACACCATCAGCACCAAGATGCCGGCTTCGTTTGTCTGTAAAGGATGGCACAAATAAGCCTATTAATAAGCATTTTCTGAGTAACAAGCCAGAACTGTTATTACTGTTTAACTGTTCATTTTAAGATTGAGAAACCAGACAAGTTATAACAGTTTTTGAACTGTATTTGTATAAAAAGCCAAAAATTTCAAAATAAGTTGCTCATAAACATTGTTCAGACTTTGAATACACAAAATGGGATAGCAGAGGACTAGTTTTGAGATATGCTGAAGCCACCCTATCCCAGACAAAACCACCTGGAATTAGAAGTCAGTGGTCACTGTAGGAAAACAGCAAAAGGAAAACTTTCTGAGTATTTGCATAGGCCTGTTATCACAGTAAGGCAATCAGAGCATTTAATATCTGAGAACAAATCTTCAATCCCCCCTTGCAAAAGGGAAATAACACAACAGACTATACTAGAGTCGCTAATACACTATAACTGTCTTATTAAGGAGACAACACTCTGTTCAGCACATACAACTGATGTGTTGTGTGTGCACATGCACCATTGCAGGGGACAAGACAACCCTCCTAGGTCTTTCACTAGTACCAACACACAGTCATCACTGTCCTGTTGTTGCTGGTACATCTAGACAAGTAAGCACTGTAAGGCCAAAATCTAATTTGGAATTCATTCTAAAACCCAGGACTTCTCACTGTCCCAGTTTCCAACATCAAATATCAGAAAAGCAATCAGAAAAAAAGTTATGTAAAAACTGAATAGTAAGCAGAGTAACACTGTCATTTTTGTCTTCAAAGACAGTGAATGCATGGGGAAGTACCTAAGAAACTTGTATGTTTACTGATTAAAAAGCAGCTACACAAACTAGGCTTATATAGGGCTTACATAATTATAAAGAATAGTCACAGCTCTAAAACATAATATTTGTAAGCAAATAAATTTCATGTGAAGATTGTTAATACTGACTATAAAATACCATGGATATAGAGCCCAGACATTAAGAAGTAGAAAAGCAGACGGAGTTATACTTCACAAATTCAGGACAGGACATGTACCACACAGAACTGAAATTGCTCATGCAAAACAAAAGCACCTTATTTTATGGCAAATCTGTTGTTCGTGCAAAAGAACAGCATTGTACTAGAGCAGAGAGGTTCCACAACTACCAGCAACACGTAACAACTCCGAATGTAGTCAGAGCAGGTGAAGCAGCAGATCTACAGTGTGCTTGTACCAAAAAGTGAAATCTCTCAATCTGTCAAATACAGATGAATTTGGAGCAAGTTTTGCAGTCTTGCTCATATGCACAGAGCTACCAAAAAATCCCGAACCAAGGAGAATCTTCTATCTTACTACATGGCTCCTGTGAACAGCCTGCTGCACAGCTCAGGTTTTGAAGGTTCTTTCCAAAGCTTATTCCTTTCTAGATCTGAAAGTGCCTTCAGGGCACAGATTAATTTATATGATAATGAGGTGCTTTATCACCAGGAAATTTAAAGACAAAATCATACATATAAAAGTGCAGAATCAACAGCTTTACCTTTCTTTCTGGAAGGGGAATCTGTCTTGCCAGCTGGTTGGGCTGAGCAAGCTGCAGCTTGTTTTATTTCTTCACTGGCAGGCAACGGTGGTACAACTGCTCCTGGAGACTCTGTCTCTGGCTTATTTGTCTCAGCTGGTAAGGGTTCACTTTCATCACCAGTTGCTGCATCTGCTTGTCCAAGGGCAGGTAGAGGAGACACAGTGTTAAACTCCTCTATAGGAGAACTCTGGATGACCCGAAAGTGAGTGCTTTCAGAAGGATTTACGTCCACCACGCTAGGTTCCTTTGCTTTGAGCAGAGAACTGGCCTGTGAGGAAAAATAAACAGATTGCTATAAAAAAAAAAAAAAAGCTCTTTAATGCAACAGCCAGAGTTTAACCTGTTTTGTTCACTCCCGTGAGATCAGACTCTCAAGGTAACTAACCACAGCAGAAAGCCACCACTAACTGAGGTAGAGACTACAGTGTAGTAAAGATTTCTCTGCTGTGTGTTTGCTTGCACAAAATTCATCTGTATCTTGCGGCCAGGAAAGATTTGCTCTGCAATGAGCTCTACAGTCTTCATTTCCCGCTCACCTGCCCGGGAGCACATCACAGCTCTCACCCTGCCCTCCTCCCTTCCTGCACAAATCTTAGCTTTTCTTCAGATGGTAACCCTGACAAACATGAGAAGGGAGCACAGACCGGAGTCCTTACACAATCAGGATGCTCTTGGAGACCAGGACAGGGGAACACTGTCATTCATCCATACCCCAGATTTAGATTTTAAATCGCTTTATAGGAACAATGCTAGATCTTCTCTAAGTGTGGGACAAGAGGTGTTCTTACAGAGGGGAGCTGAACTCTTACAGCAGCAGCTTTACAGGTGCTATAACCTTCACGTCATAGCACACAAAGATCAACAGCATCCAAAGCATAACTCCCAGTTCAGGTATGGCGAGACCAACTCTGAATAGCTTGGCTAGGGACATATGCAGGGACTGCAGCGGGAAAAGCCTCCAGGAATAAGATTTGCAATACCCACCAGGCTGTGTGACTGGGATAAAAATGAAAAACCCAAATCTACTAACTGGAACCCTAAATTCTAGACTGGAAATGCCAATTTGAAACTCCTGCCTGGACCTGTGCACTTGAATTAGTTCTATGTACAGAAAACAGCTCCCAATTTCTTGTAATATACATAAGGAGAAGAATAATGCAGAGGTGATGGGACAGCTCATCTTTGGCCTACTAAAGAAGAGGCCAGAGCTCTTCTGAAGGAATGAAGAGTTCTGGATTTCCATCCCTGCTTTTGTCACTAGCTACCACCAGTGAATTAAAGATAAATTATAATAGTGCCTTTATAATTCTGGTGCCACCACCAGAACACAGAAGTCTTCTTTCTGAGGAGGATACCCACTTCCCTGGCCTGCAAAGCAGGAATTTTGTTTCTTTATACTGTTCCTGACCCCATCATACCTGCAGTCCTTTTTGCAGAGAATCCAACCCTCAGCAGAAGGGGCCAAACCCTGCACCTTCCCTGCCCCCATAGTTGCAGTATTTCACTGGAACCTGACCTTAATTTCTTGCACCCCAAAGCAGGTGTAAACCCTAAGTCTCCCCTTTCCTGTATGAATGCTCTGACTCCACAGCTATCGTAAGGAGCTGACCTGCAGCGTACGCAGCTGCACATGGCTACTGTGCAGCATGGGAGACGCTGCTGCTGGCACACTACAGATCCTGCCACCTAACCGGGCCAAACGGCTTCAGGCAGGAGACAGGCACCAAGACAGTCGGCTCAGCCAAGAGAACAGCAGGTCTGGGCACACAGAGATACAGAACTGCAGGTGTTTCTGGATGCTTATGTACTCAAGCAACCGATTTTAATTTTTGTGAATCACACTGCAAACGCCAAGCACCTAATTTCCATCTAAGACCATTTATGAATTTCAATGATTTACCAAAGGACATTGGATTTGATTTTATATGTTATTTAAGCTTCTAACTTTTACAAGACTAGGTCTCAGGAACTTCCTTCATTTTCAACTGTGTATCATCAGTGTTGAGTACATCTATGGCACAAGGTACCTTCCTGTACCTCCTAAGGAGCAAGATGCAATTCTTACATAAAACATTGCAATTTTATGTAAAAACAGGATCCATTCCCTCTTCAGCAGTCTGCAATAAAATAAGCCTGCGCCCCATTAAAGCACACTAGATGCTAGCAGGAATTAAACAAATTATGTTGGATACCTTTGCAGCCTGGGGTAGCTCTCCCCATGCCCAGTGCATGTGGGGATTATTCTTCAGTCCACTTCTGTCCGTAGGTTTACTGACTAATTCTGAGTCACTCTGAGGAGTAGGAGGGCGTGAACCTGATGGGCTGAAGAAAAACAAACAAAAAATACTACAAAACCAAAAGTAACCACAATGCACTAAGCACTGATATCCACCAGCCCAAAGCACTGAAGATCTAAATTATCATTAGCCAACTGAAACTGGGAAAGCATGGAAAAACAGTTTAAACAGTTCAGGAACCTCTTAGACTGGCATTCAGAGGTCTCATCCATTTTTCTGTAAGTGCTGTCACAGAAAGAGCATTAAGAAGCTGAAAGAGATGGAACAAGAGCACTGGACCTCAACATTTCAGGATTTTTATTTTTCTGTGTGGCAAAAAGAGTGGGGATGGTAGCACCAGCAGTAGATGAATAGATGTTAGTATTGTTATGATGGGTGTGAAGTGCAGAAATTACTCACTCACGTCAACAAGACACTTTAACCTTACTAAGTAATAAATTAGTCTAAGGAATCCAGTTGATTACTTCCTTCTACTAACTTGTTCAGTTCTACCCTTAGATGCATGTTTATAGGGAAACCAGCAGGAGAGCTATACAAAGAATTTGAGTTCTTCCAGTTCAAAAATATTTAACTGTTTGTTTTGCTGACTACTCAATATAAAATATTCAATAATTAATTAGTAAATTATCAGTTTGTAGCATATTTTTAATGTGGTGAAGTCAATGCAATGTCAAGTCAACCATTAATAAATGATGATTCACTGATTTCGACAAAGGGAAAAATTGTGATTATCTACTCTGCCTTTCTGCATACCGCAAGTCATAGATTTTCACCCAGAACCCCCTGAACAAAGCCCATTATTTTTTGTCTGAACCATAGCATGTCTTTGGTATACTTGTGCAGTCCTGATTTAAAAACTACAAGCAACAAAAGAATCTACAACATTCCTAAATCAAAGGTCCAAACTGAGTTACCTTCACTCTCAAAAACAAAAGGCTTCCTACATTTAATACAAATTGTTCATGTTCGATTTATTCTTTACCTTCTTCTGGATAAACTGAACATCGAAACCAGTTTTGCTCTTTCAATGTAAGGCAGTTTTGTAGAGCTAGATGGTAGGGAATTCATTGGTCACAGGAAAATAATTACTTCACGCTAACACAAAGCAGCTTTTAAAAAAAATCTGTGAATTTCACATCTGAAAAAATAGAAACCTAATTATCTACATCATTCCTTGTTTTCATTTATGTTGCAGTTAAGATATACTTTGAATATGGACAAATGCTATGACTTTTTAGCTAGATATAATTAAGTTATCTAACTAAACTATAAAATTTATAAGCAAAACCACTGTGGAAGATCTTTTTTGGTCCTAAGAGTTTCAAATTTTTATTAGTCCTTTAGTGTATAACCTACCATTTCACAGATGAAGGAATCAATACATGCAATTTAAAAAGTATTTTCAAGCTCTAAGGATTCAAGAAATGCCTGGTGGGTTTTTCAGCAACTTCTACATTTCCCAGTGACAAGTTTGTAGGATTTGCAGTATTTTCCATGCATCTAGGGCCCATTGAAACCTTGGAAATCAGGAGCCTGGTCACTTCAGAAAATCTCAGCAAGAAACAATGCTTCTACTGCTGCTTTAAGCCCAAAATATCTAGATTTAAGGAAGTGTTGTCACTGCACGATTTAATCTGTGCACTACACACATATTAACCTTCAAAATACCTACTGCTTACTTAGAAAAATCTCCAGTCTGGGCTTTTGGGGTATGTTCAGCCCAGGTTCACTTATACAGCCAACCTGAAAGAATACAGGCATTGCTTCAGTTTGGGCTGGAACCTCTGCATTTTGCACTGATAACACTGATGGGGGACGGGGGGGCCTCACCTTTTCCACAATTTTCCCTGAAAATACAGTTCCCTTGTACACACAACTGAGTGGGGAAGAAGCCCAGGCTGTTACTCAGCAACAAGAACCATGATGTATATTCCCAGGCACACACATGCAAGTACCAGAAATATGGCATTTGCATATGCACGTATGTTAAAACAGGGAGAGTTCTGCTCTGAGAAGGCTCTTGCTGCAAAAGGCTGCCCGATGATCCATGCACACATCTGGGTTATTGGTTCAGAATAGATACAGCTACAAGTATACCCCTGGTTAAGTTAGGAACAGGGTGAGCATCTAACCCCCAAAATATTACCCACTCTCCCAAAACAAAGTACACAAAACACACACTATGTACTGAAAATTCAACACAAGCACAATGGAGACATCTTAATTCTCATTCTGTAAATACTACTTTTCTATACAATAAAATAAAAGGATTTAGTAGTAACAAAATGTTAGATCTTCAGAATTCTTTTCAGTTGATTTCTCCTTACAGATTAGTGTACAAATGCTAATACAACCTCAGGGTACACCAAAATTATCACTGCAATGTCCTTTTAATTTTAAAGCCCCAAGACCAAATCAGACTGCAAATATGCATCCACAAGGCAAACAGGGGGAAAATTATTTTGTTTCTATAAAAGGATACTAAAGCATTCTCATTCCTTATATCATCTGGAACATAAGCTGGGATTTTCTATGCCATCCACAAACATTAACACAGGGTTGGCGGCCTCCCGATGAGAGCTGGTTTTCCATTACAGAGAAATACCTTTACTTTTTTCTTCATATGCCATATTGCTGTTCAACACTCAATAGCTACTCTCGCCCACTAATATCCTTCTGGAACAGCAACAATAATCTCTGTAGTTTATGGATGCAGATGGCAATTATGTCTACTACAGTTCTGTTTGTATACTTCCTGTTTGTATAGTTCTGCTTCCATATGTAATGCCAGATGTCACCTCCTTTACCAGCACTGGGACTATTTTGGCCGCTATTCACTTCATACTATTGCCACCAAAGTAAAATTAGACTGAAGACTAATAAAGCTCACAATCACATTCCTTTAAATATTTTTAACTCAGGTCAAATTAAATCCTGAACTAATGTTATGCTTGCACTAAGGGTCAATAAGGCTGAATACCAAGACAGTATCCTGCAATTGCATCCACAGATCAGACTCAAAATGGGTTCTTTATTCCTTACACCACCAAGACATTTGTCTTGGGTGGAACTATGCCTTGCAATTCCCCTGTCCTTAAGTTAGGCACTGACCCAGCCCAGCTGAAATTCTCTTGCCTTACATAGATTGCCAAGATACTGCAGATCAAACTAGAGCCACCCATCCTGTCAACACTGCACAAGAAGGAAGGAAAATTTCAGTTCAGTCATTCAGATCAAGATATCTGATTCACATCCCATAAACACTGAATATTTGTGTCACAGTCCTTTCTATTCCTTAACAGCTATGATTGCACTTAATGTAATCCAATGCCAAAGAATTAGGAACTTGGCCTGTAGTTGGAAGTTCTGCAATAGAAAACCACGCTGATCTTCGCAGTGTTTCCCACTGAAAGCAGAGAGCCCTGAGAAAGCAGCAATGTACCTGAGAAAAAGTCCTGTCTTGAGGCCAAATAAACTGAGAAAAGATAGTCAGAAGGAAAGAGGCCTACCTCACATACATAACACAACAATAGCCGACAGCCTCTGAACCTCCTTTGAGGTGGCCATAATAGAGTTTCTTATTTCACATAGAGGAAAACATTTGCAGACGCAGAGGTGGCTTTACTCAGGCAAGTTACTACAAGCACTTTAGCTGTATATCTAGATTGCGGGACAGGTGAACTCCAGAGCAAAGTTCATGAAGCCACCCAGAGCACATCACTGCTCCATCCCAACCTGTGCACCTGCCTGCCCTTCCCATGAAAAACACCAAGGAGAACAGCCTTGAATGTCCCAGGATCTCACCTTCACTTGGTGTTGCAACATAGTCAGGTTAAAGAGGGCAGCCCTAGAAGCTGTGAAAACCTCAAGATTATCCATTTCGATACAGCCTTAGGCATCTGGTATGGCATCTATATTGAGATAAGCAATGAGCAATTTAGCCAGATTTACTACTCAAAGCTTCTCCAGCATTAATGGAGAATTGTAGAGGTCATAATCAGACACCTACTTTACGTTTTTTAACTGAGTTGCTGTGACTTCTCTCCACTGACTTAGTGGAGAGAAAGGGCCTTGCTGCAGAATCTTGAGACATCTCAAACTTAAGATATCATAAAAAGTCTTTGTATCCATTTTTAGCTCTGTAGAAAACAGTCCACAGTCAGAGCAAAGGCTTAAGTCTGGGTTTCCTAAACCTTAGACAAAATGCCTTTATCTGTTGTGTCATCTTTACTCTGTAAGATGCTACCCCACTGCAATCCAACAGTACAGAAAGTCTTCCCCTCCCCCAAACCAAGGAAAAAGGAAGAGAAGTTCTCTTTTGGTACTGGGCTCCTCCCACTATAAGTTTTGCACTCCTTATAGCTCACTTACTCTCCTAGGCCTTTGTTTTGCTTTTACTTTTGCAACCTATGCACAAGCAAACAACTCAGGAAAACCATGGGATAAAAACATCATAAAATATACACTGACTGTAAAAAGCCACATGGAAACATCAATCTTCAGAGGAATATAAGCTTTCACTAGCTAAGTTCTTCCTTTTTTTATCATCTTAATCAACTTCAGTCTTAAACCAGGTTTTCATTGGCTTCATTTTATATTGGCCACCCTCATTCAACAGATGATTCAGCAAGGTAACTTACCTCCAGTCAACACCCACAAAGCAGCAAGGAGAGGAAGTGGTTTTCAATGTCACTTTCTTTCAAAGTGTCTGGGTTAGCAATAAGTGCAGTTATAAGTTCAACAAAGTTCACATACTATTGTGTTAGAAGTGTATTAATGTGTTAAAAGGATTAAAGAGCAGCCCAGAAAAGAGGGAGGACAACTGTTCTACCTGTCTGGAGAAAAGTGAGAAGGTTGTTGAGGACAAGAGTTAGACAGGCCTCCATCTGCTGGAACAGCGAGAAGAGAGGATTGCCCTGTGCAATCTATAGGCTTACTGGACAGCACAGCATGTTGGTAGAAAGAAAAACAGGGTGTCATTATTCACAAGTGCTGATTAACATAAGCTTATTGTGCACTAGCTACATGAATGCTGAATTTACATCTAGAGTTTTCAATATCCAGAATACTGCAATCCAGAAACAAACAGAACATACAGTTCAAAAAGCCATCAAAGGGGCAGGGTATTGACACATGCTATCACCAGACTGGTGAAGCTAGTCACATTAAGCTTTACAGTCAGCGGAGAAAGCTTCTTCCAGAATGCAATTCAAAACCTTTAAATTAAGCCCTTGCTCTGAAATAATCTCCTTGCCCTCCCTTCCTCTGCCCCTCAACTACAGAGGCAGTATATTGAGATTAGACTACTTAGGATAAGGCCTTGTGAATATCACTCCAGTCCCACAGTCTGCATGGAGGATGTGGGGCACATGTGCACAGGAGCACACACACACAGAGACTTCATTGGAATTATAATGCAATACACATTAAGCGAAAAATTGTCGTTTTTTGACAGCGTTACACAGACAAAAGAAAGGAGGTCCAAACTGATCTGTTTTGACATCAAAGGTCTACACGTGCACACAAATACACATACAGGAAAAAGTAAGCAAATTACTGTATGTGTTCTTTTCACACAATAAATATTTCTATCTAACTGTGCAATTCAATAGATTACCTATGAAAGTGACACAAAAAAGCTCATATTCTCATTCATTACAAAAAAAAAAAAAACTTATTTTTATAAATCAACTCCAATCTTGCAAGTTCTTAAAAGAATTACACCCAAAGTACTAGAGATTTATATGCCTGCATTCACTGAAGTCCTTACAAGGTGCATGCATCAGGCAAAGATTCAGATTCCACAAAATGTTCATCCTCTCTACAGTATTTATATGCAGTGACATTAACAGATATATTCTTCAGAATTTGTGGACCTGCATTTGTATGCATGCATTTGCTGAATCAAGGACAAAGCTAACCTGAAGTTTTTGTACACTATCTGATTTCAACTATAGAAGGCATTCATCTAGTAGTCAACAGTGACCATGTTTGATACCAAAATTTTTAGTAAGATGCCATATAGCACTAGCATATAGGACATTAATGGAAAGAGGAAGATTACTTTGAACTGTACTAGCAGAAAAAGTACCTTTGAAGAGGTGACCATTCTCCATCTGAATGAGGATAAGATGCAGACTGAGAAAACGCAGAAACGGCAGGAGCCTTTGTGTCAGACACATCATCAACAAACACATCTGGAACAGGGATCCTGGGTATAGGGAAAGACGTGACATTTAAAAACCATACTTGATTACTGAACTGTCATATACTTCAGGTAACAAAAAAAAACCCTACTGCAGAGAATTACTATAACCTGAACTAAAAGGAGATAGAGAAATGTTATCTGATTCACACCTTCTAGTTCACAGCATGACGAAGGACTATTCTCATGTTTTCAATGTCATTTTCATTATTTTTGTTACTAACATTCCCAATAGCTTTCTAGCCTAAAGCTTTTTCTTTAAGAAACATGTTCATCAGCCATGTAAACTGACTTAGAAATTACTGTTAGAATGTATGGAATGGAACATTAACCCAGCAGTAGGTTTCCATTACATATCTCAATTCCACTGTGATACCTTAAATTGTCCAATGGTTCTTTTTCTTCCTCTGAGCTAATCTCTATAGGAAACATGTCTTCATCTTCTGATGTGTCTCCATTGTCTTCTCTTTTTAAGCTGTCTATTTTATGGGTAGACTTCCTCCTCTTCTTCCTCCTTTTTTTCACAGAGCTACAGACTGGTGATGTTTCAGTAGAAGGCTGGGATCCATGGGCTTGGACTGGTACTTGTGAGGATGCACTAGTGTCCAGGTTTCTTATCCTGTCTATGGAGTTCCTCTTCAGCTGAGCTTCCATTAAAGCAGTTCCCTCAGACAGAATGGGAGATGTAGAGAGATGATAAGGAATCACCTCCTGAGAAAGAAAAAATTCAAACCATGCAACATATTAGTTCTTCCACTGGTCATAAATCTGGTTCTAAAATCTATGCACGATTGCCAAAATCTAAGTCATTTATTCCTCAGAAAAGTAACAAAGATTAGACATCTGGATGCTCAGTATGATCCATACAATTTCCATACAGCATATAGAAATTGTTCCATAGCTGCATCTCCTTAGACAAGCCAGGACAATATTCGTAGTAAAGAGGATCCTCTGAGCATCCAATATTGGCCAGGTTATGGCATGAATCTCTATCCACCTGATGCTAGATACAGAGCAGAAACAAAATCCTAGTTTATAACCTGAACATTTTGTAAAATCCAGTCCTCCTTCACAACTCAGATGACAGATAGTAGTTAGATAAGTCAGCAGTTTATAACTAGGTCACACAAATATCCCCTTATTCAATCATATATATACACACATCTCTAGACACTCATGGAAGTATTTCTAGCAATTTTCAGTCACCAATAATTGTTACCACCCAGAAGATTTAAATATAAAGATCAGAAGATTTAAACAAAGATACAGAGATGATTAATGCACATGCACACAGCTCTCACCTGAAACTAGTAATATGGTATTCCATGTAAGAATCTGAAAACTTATCCCACCCTGGACAGTGACAAAAATTATTTGGGATATCTGAAGAGAAATGCCTGTAAAAAGCTTTTCTAATGTTACATTATGTGTGAACTATTCAAAATTAGTGGGACCATAACTTACATAGGCTAGTATTTAATCACACAGCACAACAGCAGGCATTCTCATTTAAATATAATTCCACATGAATAATAGTTGCAAGATCACATCTTTGGTAAGTACCAGAATTACTGTGTGCACAGATGTTTACAGGGCATGCGCACTTTTACTGGCAGTCTGATGAGTGCATATGTTCAAAGTAGAGATTTCTACAAAAAACAGGTCCATGAACATATTAACATCTGTTGTACACATCTTCGGAGCATGTGAACTCTGTGCATGTTATTTCCGTTCACTCACTGCCATGCACATAAACCATGATTTATTTTTCAGTTACGTGATTACCTTCTTTACATTTTTCCAAATCTCAGCAATTCAAAACCCGAAGTAACTGCATAGTATGGAATTTCCATAGCAGAAAATTGTCCAGAAACTTTCAAAACTATAAAATGGGTAAAGGTATATTTTTCAACAAAATTCCTAAACTCAAAACTGACTCTGAATTTTTAACAAATTAGAATTAGAATCTCACCTGATCATTATCCATCTCCTGCACAAAAAAGGCCTCTCCATTGTCTCCTAGTTTCATGTGCAAATCTACAGCCTCTCCATTAATTTCTATGTCAACCTGGAAGACAATAAATATATTCTCATATGAAAAAAAAGTTATTTTAGGTGCACAGTTCCTGTACAGCTATCCTACTGCTGTCACTGCGCAAATGCTTCTCAGGAAGTGTAGGAAACCTTATAATAAACATAAAATAGTAACTTCTCTGTTTCTCTCCTCACCCCTTCACAATGCTGTCAATTGTCAAAAAGTTTTTCTAACTTGTCCAGCTCATTCCTCTCTTGCGCCTCTACTCAGGAAGGTTTATAGCCATTATATAAAGCCCTGAATCTTTTAAAGTGTAATTCTGAATGCTTCACTCGCCACACAAATCTTTTTGCTCTTTTAATTCATAGCCTAATTTTGAATTGTGCAAGAAGTACTTCCACATGCAAATTCTTAATATACTGCCTTTCAAAGTCATTAAACGGACTTCTTTTTACACTACAAGAAGCACAAATAAGAAAAATTGGTTTATGTTCTCGACACAATTCATGTGTCTATGTCTTCTGCACATTTATCTCGCTGCTATACAGCCCCAACTATTTCCATGTCTTCTCAGGAGGATCTCTCTCTTTGCCTATACCCGTTCTTGCCACTGACTCCATTTTCACTGTATTTTTTTTTTTTTTGAGACTTGGGACAAGTCTACATTTATGTTATATTTCAGGATACAGTATACTATTGGCACAGTAACATTTTCAACTCTTATCCATTCTAAATATTGGAATTCCTTTCTGATTTATGTAAGAATTGAACAAAGTCCATGATGATGTTACGATTTTTCTGCTGAGCAATTATAGCTACATTAGAACCTAGACTGTATGTAGTTACAAATTATTTCCTCAAATAATCTGTCATGTACTACTCACCAGCAACTTCGCATCTGTTATCATATTGCCAGGTCACCCAGCCTGGTTACATTTATCTCAAAGTCCTCACTGCTTTTTCTAGCTTCAGTTAACCTCAACATTCTGTTACCTAAAAATATTCCTTCATTATTATCTCCCTTTTTGTAACTATCATTGAACACTTTAAACAAAGGGGTCTTAATACACAGTCACTGATGAAATCTAGCATAGGCCCAAATTAGCACATTCCAAATTTTGCTTTATTGAAAATAAATGTTACAACTGTCATGGCTTGTTTTGTTTTTATTATAGTCAATGTCTCACAAATTATGCTTTGAAATGCAAGAATCAGTAACAACCATTTTAATTGAAATTTGCCTCAATCTGGGCACTTTATAAAGAGTGTCTAAAGAAAACCTTGACTAGTGTACCACAGAACATTCAGTAATTTTCATGCCATTAGAGTTAACCCACAGACAGAAATATCAAAATTGTCAATTTTCTTACCACTTTCTCCCTAGAGCGCAGAACTCCCATTTTCCCAAAGCGTACGTGGAAAGGGGAACACTGAAGATTTCCATCTGGCTGACGTACAACAATTACATCTATACATCCTGACAATGTGGCTGGGTTTAATCCCTTATAGAGCTCCTTCACAGTTACAAACACTTGCCCTGCTAACTGTCCAACGTAATTCATGGTTTGGACCTGAAAGCAAAAGACAGAACAAATAAGATTTTGATCCCTGCTTTATAGAGACATTTAAGCAGTGGGGTGTTCTCCTGTTTCACAAATTAACAACTTCACAGAGACCTAATTTACTTACAACTGATGCGTGTTTGTAAAGAGCTATTAAAAGATAAAAGCAAAAGAGACCTTCTAAGTCAGAGAATTGTAACAACTTTGAAAAGTTCATAAAATCACTTGTGTTCACAACCACTGTCAGACTTTTAGACTCTGCAGCTCATAAATGTCTCCAATTATCTCTGAAGAGAAAAGCATTATTTCCAAAATAACATCTCCTCCTATCATTTATCATGCCCTCAACACCAAATATACTTTTCTCATGTATTCTGACAGGCTTTTAAGGGCAGGGCAAGTGAATGGTTTTAAGCAGATCTAATTTTCCACTACGCTGAAGTCAAAGACTATTTTCCTGCTTTACAAGGATTTCTCCCATTAAAAGATTATAATACGCACAATAGATATGCATTAAGGTTTCACAAGCCACCTTTAATAGAGAGCATCTGAACTTTAGAGTGCTTCCCAATGCAACTTTACTGTTCTTGGTTTAAAACAGCCTTTTAGTACCAGCAGGTTTATTAAAAATAAGGCATGTGTTGATGGTTGAAGTGATTGACAATTTCCCCTGCTCCTGGATTTATTTAGTATTTAGCATTTAGTTTCCTGCTTCTACTCTCTTAATGCACATCCTGTTTATGACCCATTAATACACTTAGTCCCCTAGATGGGACAGCATGCACACTTAGACATACTTAAAAGTTCAAAAAGTTTTTTAAGGGCTCTCAAAATATGAATTAATTTAAGCAGACACCTTCCTGAACAGTACAGATTTTAAGGACTCCCAGTGTCTATTTTTTTCATTATTTTTCCAACATCTCTTGCAGATTTTAAGATACTGATTTTAGCAAAGTCTTTGTGCACTCAGTATAAAGCATATGCCTCACATACAAGTTCTTTGCTAGGCTGTACTACATCACCTGCACATCAATAAAAGAGACACTTGCAGGGTAGGCAATGCTAAAACTCCCATTGATGGTGATGAGGACAGCACTGAGCTCAGAGTTTGAGAGACAGCCACTGCACTGACCTACGTGGCATGTGTTAATCAGCATCATCTGCTACAATGGAGACTGTCATCTGTGTTCTTTCATAAACAACAAAAAGATGTAAGTGAAATGCTGTAGAAATAGCTCCAATTTTTCACTGTGATTTATACTTGAAAAAAAACTATTAAAAGAATACAGTGGAAGCATTACAGTAAAAAACTGGACAGTAGAAAATGCTATAATTAAGGCTGGTCTCTTCATGCATAGCTGTTCTAATTAATTAATGATCACCTGCATTTTTTTCCAAAAGTCCCTTCACAAAGAAGCTTTGCTTTCTTCTCTGTTTCTATTGCAATACACGGGTATCAGGACACAAACTATGCTCTGAAGGAAGAATTATTTATGTTCTTTTGGGCTTTATGATAGTCATCACTACATTACCCGTGTAAAGCGATGATGGTCACCTCATCTGACAACTGGAGAGCTGAATCACAAAAAGATTAAGATTAAAAGCAGGCACCAACTTTGGAAACCAAACAGACTTTTTTGAAGTATTTAGTATACAGGATGTTAACTAATAAAAGAACAATCCCTAAATACTGTCTGGAGAAGCATTTCTGCACAGCCCTTAATTCAGGCACTAGCAAGTGCCACCTACTGAAAAGTCAACACATGAAAACTTCATGGCAGAAAGAGCAATTATATTCAGTTCTCCAGCATTCAAGTGGTATTAGCACTTGTGGGCTCCTATTATACATTAGGAACACACCTTCCTGAATGCAAATCTGGTGGTAAGCTGTTTCATAGGAAACTGCACTTGAAACTCACGTCCCACTCTATGCTGTGTCACAGAACAACAGGTTGAACGGACCTCTAGAGGTCACCTGGTCCAAAAATCCCCCCAAAGGAGGTCTAACTTGGACCAGGGTGCCCATGGCCTTGGTCCCATTGAGTTCTCAATGTCTTCAAGCATGGAGATTTCTCAGCCTCCCTGCACTCCTGTTCCTATGTTTGCCTGTCCTCACAGCAAAAATTTTCTTCCCAATATCTAACCTAAATTTCCCTTGTTGCAACTTGTGCCTGCTGTCTCTTGTCCTATCACTATGCACCTCTAAGATTCCAGCTCCGTTTCCTCTATACCCCCCAAGAGGTAACTGAATACCCTGAAGACTGAACAAAACCAGCTCTCCCAGCCTCTCATTTAAATCATAAACTCTTAGCCCCCTAATTATCTTGGTGGCCATCATCTGAACTCTTTAAAAAGCTGGCACCACACAGGCACAGACGTAAGTTCAGAAGTGAGCCTCCAGGGTGACAGATGGAAGCAAACTTTTAAAATTATCCCTTTGCTTTGGAAAAATAGTTCAGTTTCTATTGGGGATTTTTCTAACTTAAAGCACAATAAGAAACACATTTCTTATTGAGCTATGATTAAATTTAAAGACGGCTACAACTAGAATCAAAGTTATACAACGTCGTTCACCCCAGTTAATGCTTGGTCTGCTGTAGCAACAAAATTTCTAGGTGCAAAACAGCCGCAACTTCCTTGGGGAAGGAGTTGCTGGGACAGTACAAGTACATAGACCCCATTGTTCGGGAGAGTTACGGACAAACAATCCAAATATGAGGACTCACACATCCTCTTAACAAGTTACACCTGCAGGTCTCCTAAACTCCTACACAGAGACTTTTGCAACTATTCTTGTCCACAACAAATCTTAGCCACAGTGCCCGCCCTGTCTTAGGACACAGAGATTATTTTTATACTCATGAATTTAAAAAGTTAGACACCATTCTCAAGCTCTGAGGCCAACTAGCACAGCACAGCTTGCTTCCATACAGTGAAAATCCCTTATAACTTAAAAAGAAAGTGCCACATTCAAACTGTCAGCTGGTGATGGGCACTCCTTTCAAGCTGGGCTGAACCTGGCCAGTACAACAGAAGCACTGCAGGATTAAAAAACAGACTGGGAGACTAATCACATAAACCCTACTTCCTCAGGAAGCCAGACAAAAATAGGCTTATATTTCAAATGTAGGGAACAAAAGATGCTCTAGTTAAAATGGGGGAGAGTTCAGAAATTGGACTCTAATGGATATAGGCCCTTTACCCTAACTTTTATACATGCCAACCAAAGCTGAGATTGTTTGGAGTCTGAGGTTTGTAAATTTATACTCCAAACTTAAAGTCAGTCCACGCTATGTCAGTACTCCAGGAAACCAACATTCCTCAAACCCCAGAGAGACTGCATGTGGGTTTGGAGCAACATTTTACTCTGGCCACTCCAAGAAGTCTTTCACTTACTAACCAGGTAGCAGCAACTTTAGCAGTAAACATGAGTTTACATCATGGGTTAAACCCCCAGTGCCTGCGTATTAATTATACTGAATTTAGTAAAACTCTTGTTCTCATACCATGCTAGTGGACATAGCACAGAATATTTTTTGCTGCTGGGAAAATCTAGAATCCTTTTGATCTAAGCTTGCAGCGAGTGAGAACAGTCTGTACTGCTTCTGTCAGGATTTTCAAATGGCTTGAGTTTTGTTCTTTGCCAGGAGACACTCCACAGCTCTACATTATGCATCTGTTATGAAATTAAAAGTATTTTCTAGTATAATTTTTAATGTCAATTTAACTAGCATTACCTGCCAGGAGGCTCAGAAAATTTCCAACTCTTTTGATAGTTAAAGACAGCAGTCATTTTTCAGAATTGATCATCTCATGGAAAACTAAGTGAAAAATAAATAGCTAGGTGTTCCCTTATTACTTAACTGATTTATTAACTTAGCAAAGATTGACCTAACGAAGTTAATTCTTTAAAGTCCCGCTCTACTGGATGCCACAGCAAGATCAAATGCAATGTCATCTAGATAATCCACCTCTTTCATACATGTACACCAGACTATGTCCTAATTCCACTGAAAAAGCTAGTAATTGTACCCTTCATGGCCCACTTTTTACAGCCCAGCTCTTCCCCAGACCATTTCATCTTTCTTTACCGTATTTTGTAAAATAAAATACTAAAAGCCATAGGAACTAAAGGCCTTTTTTCCTTTTGCAAGATCCAGTGTCTCCTCAGGTGCCACAACAAAATAACAACAGGTTAGATATTCACACACATCCAAATTACTTAGGGATACAAGTGCTATTCAACATGCTCTAAAGATGGACAGTTTTTGAGGGGAAAAAAAAAAAAAACCACCACAAAAACATGATTTAGGTAGCATGCTGTATGGGTGATTAAAAACTGGAACACACTTCCACTGGAAGACTGGAAATCTCCAGTACAGAAAAATTGGAAGAGCAGGATAAATATTTGTTGGGACTGGTTTAGGACCAGGCAATTGTAATCTTTGGGACAGAGATTGTCACTGTGCCTGTGTCCAAAGCAGTAAACCAAACCATATCACATCACAGACCTGACCATTACAATTTGGTCACCTATACTCAAATCTATTTAAATTACAAAATCTGCTTCTGGTACCTTTTAGGCATAGGCCAATAAGCACTCTCCCAACAATACCCAGGCACAACTAATGAGATAAGATGGACTGGGGACTAGTCCCATGGCCAGTTAAGAAGTAGTCACCTTTAAAGCTTAAGAGAGCTTTCTAGAATAGATGTGAACAGATGGTGCTAGCTGGTGTGGCCAACAAGAACAGACTTTGGCACCATTTCGTTCTCTAGCAGGGATGTAACATTTAGGTCCCTTTCAGCCCCTTTTCTCAGGTTCTACAGTTATGACTGCGCACTGGTTTTGTAGGCCATGAGAGTAAGATTTGTAGCAATGGTAAACATAACACAAACCAAATGCTTACCACAAAGAAAAACAATTGCTCACCACCTGCTGACCGATGCCCAGTTAGTTCCCAAGCAGTGGCCCCCAGCCATCATTCCCCCGGTTTATATAC